CTCTTTGTATAATAACGTTAAATCTATAGTGGTTGGTTATGGAAGGAAAAGGAATGTTCTGTCGCTTTGCCATTTGTCAACTTCAGGTACTCATAAAGGAAAATTCAGTAATACTCACTCAGTCTTGTTTTTATTTCAAGCTAAAAGACCGTAACTATGTGGAAAATTTTTAACAGCATCGAAAATTTAGCAGACTGTATTTTTATGTTGTTTGCTACCGTTTATATTTTCAACGTTGCGCGCAGGAATGATTATTTTTTTCGATTCTGCAAGAAGTGCAAATTTAAACGATTACAAATTCATTGTGAAAGCTCGAAAATGGAAACCTTTTTTTAAACTGAAATATAATTAAAAAAAAGTTTATGACACTAAAGCTTTAGATTCAAGTGTAAATTTAAACGCTTACAAATTCGTCGTGAAAGATCAAAAATTGAACCTTTTTTTTAAACTGAAATATATAAAAAAAAAACAGTTTATGACACTAAAGCTTTAGATAAGCCCTATAAAACACTGTTTTATGATATAATTACATTTCCGACAAAATTTAGCAATGAATTATTTTTTGTATTAAAATACAATACGCCTCATAATGAGTTGATATGACAGGAAAAACAATTTTGATACGATTACAAAAAACTGGTAAAAGTTGAATAAATATCCTTATCATATAATTATCTATGAAATACCTATATTTCTCAATTTCATAAAAGTTGATATTTTCACTAGTGAAAGTAACACAATCGAAGTTTCTCTATATAGTGGAAGTCAAAGAAAGGTATTTTACGACATAATTGGCTTTCATATTTAATTATATGATAAACAGAATATTACATGGTCGCTTGGAGATACGAATTTGATCTTCTCTGTTGAAAATCTATCAAGAGTGAGCGTAGCGAAGATAAAATCCGTATCTCCACGCGCCCATGTAATATCCTATTTTTTCGGTTTTGTAGTTGAWMGTGATATTGGTGATTAACAGTGCAARGTGCGAAGGTGAGCTGACATTAATTCTTACTGTATGTAGTATGCACATATGACAATAATATTTGAATGACAGAATGAAATTAGTAAACTGTCATATTTCCTTGGACTGTCAAAAGGCAAATTCTTGATTTTTATCTACAGCAAGCCCTAAAATATAGATCGAACTGTCACAGATCTACAATGGGGGTAATTCGAATTCAAATTTAATTCAACGCTCGTTGATAGTAAAAAATTGTTAAACGAAATTGAGCAGATGTTTTCCATCTTAATTATCGTTGATTATAATTTTTTCTTTTATTGTCTTAAAAGACCATAAGGTGGAAATGCAGAATCGCCATTAAAATTGCTGACCATACACGCATTTACATGTAATTCAAAGGACATAAGAGAATATTAATTTTACAGAGATTTACAGATTTATTAAAAAACATCATAACACTAGCCGACACACACAAAGGAATCAAGCTGAAGCTCCGTGTACAAATCTCGGTCATAGTTTTTTCACGTCACCTAGTCTTGGTATTCTWTTGTGTTTGAATACGTAGGCGAAAATCGCAAATCTCAGAATGATTTCATTTTATATTTGCATCATATTTACAAGGTTTGTCCATACTTTTTCCATAAGTATAGGAAATCGCACGACCTTGAGTACAATTTGGAATTAATAGTCACGAGTAATGTTTTGAAAGTTCTCGTAATTGCGCGAGCCCGATAGTGATCGACTATTAATTCCAAATTGTACGAGAGGTTGTGCGATTTTTTGTTTATAGTACATTCAACTTAATTAAGGAGTACAATTAACGCTGTAATTGTACTCCTCTCGACCAATCAGAATGTATTATTTTGTTGAATGTACTATAATGTTTGAAATGGATTATTTCCGATAAAAGCTATTATTTTAAAAAGCTGAAAAGATTGTGCACCCAGATAAGCAGGTGTTTTTGAAATTGCTTTACGTCAAATCTGACAAAAACATACCCTCATGCCTTAGATGAAGTTCCCGAACCAGTTGGATTGTTTCCTTTAAATTCACTCCACAAGACGGAAGATATCAGTAATAGTTATCTAACGAGTGGAACTACTGTTGGTGTTACTCTTGCACCGGGCCCGGATGGTGAGCCAGGAGGCTCCTATTATTTTCCAGGAACTGCTTCAAGCTATATTGATATTCCAAAGCAGACGAAGCTTGATACAAGGTAAGATATGAAAAATACACCAATACAATTACGAAACAAAAAAATGGAGGCGTGGGTTCGGATCCCACTTCTGACACCATGTTGTGTTTTCGGATAAGGATGGATTACACTAGCTTGGTTTCAAGTAGATTTACTTCAGTACAAAACTTACATCATGGCAGCCATCTTAGAAAACCATGTGTTATTCTAATTTACATAAAGTA